CACTCATTCGCTACTGGTCAGATTAATGAGTTGACCAACAGCGAATGAGATAAAAGATGAACCATGAACCGGTTAATATGACAGCTGTCTTATTGAAAAAATTACGATATATGAATCAATTGTAAGAAACAATAAGATCCTGAAAGATGAAATAACTAAACTCACTTTTCCGGATCACATCCTGCCCCACATGTATCCCGACAGTAATAATCTGCTGATGGAGATGTTTCTAACCAGTCATCGCTGGGTAAACATGTAAAAGCCACCTCTCTACAACAACTTTGATAGATTTGATTCAATACTGACAATCTTCGTACCCAGTTTTGTTCTCCAAGATCGGTCGATTGCACTGGGTGCAAGATAAGGAAACGCTGGCTCCAGCAGATTCATTGCAGTATTCTTGAAGAGCATGAGTATCACTGATATCACTAGCAAGGCGATGAAACGTCTTAGGAACTGAAAGTTACGAAAATCTTCAAACGCAAATACTTCGAAAAAAAAACCAACAAATAAGGACCATGATTTCAAAAATATGATAAAAACAAAAGAAAAAAAAAGAAATAAGAGGAAAGAAAAACCAACCAAGAGGTAATCCATCCGCTTCAACATGCAACTTGCACATAAATAGCCTATGATTATCCGCCCATGTCGGTGCACAAAGAGATTGCGGATAAAGAGTCAAATTGGAGATATTCACACTATATCTTGGTGATTTCTTTTCCAAATGCATATTTTCAGCTAATGCAGCTGGGATTCCTATTTCGACGCCATGTTCGCTTATCCGAACCAAATTTAGGGATTCATTCCTAAACGTAATTTGTTCACAACTTTACCGCTGAAACTTCAGTGAATATATGTTGCGTATGGACCTACTCTTTGTTATTTTCATCATGCTCTACACCCTCATCGTTCATGGGATCTTCAGTTGGACAGTCAACAAAAAGCGATGCTAACTCAGCACGTGGCTTGACCTCCAAGAAAAAGGAATGCGTATGCCATTCCAACATGACTAGACCACCTAAAACTATTGAGTTTATCAGATGCAGACCACAAACAGGTAAACCACGCAAAGACCAAGGAAGCAATCTAAGAAATAGCCAAAAGAAACATTCTCTTAAAGCAGTTCTTCCATTGTTTGAACAGGTAATCTACTACGACCTCGGGCATAGTTCAGGCGATTTCCTTGCCTTGCGATTCTCCCGAAAGACGACTGTTACAAGTTCATTGCATGCAGATCCTGCATTTCGGTTGCGATAGCTTTCCAGCACGACGTGACTGACTGTCCTCCGGAAATGCAAGCAGATCGACAGGCGATGGGCTCGTAACAGTTGGGTGGAGGACATGAGGTCGCCGAATGCGAAAAGGTCCCGCGCGGACAATGCATCAGATACTCAGCCT